GAATTTTTGGGAATCAAGATTGTAGTGGAAGAAGTGAAATACTTAAAGGGATCCATACCTTTAAAGAAGCTTTGCACATCATCAAAAAGCTCCCCACTGATGATATTCCAAGTAGTCGTATAGAATTTAGCAGTAAAGCCATCAGGGACAACCACATTATTGTCATCAATAAAGTCTAATGCAGCTTTAATTTCCCCTTCCATAGGAACCTGAGTAAGGTCCAAGCTTTAAACATAATCAATGCACTCAAAGAAATGTTCCACCTTCATAAGAGCTCTCTCAGTATACTGATCCATAAAGATATTTTGAAAATAATTAACCGCATCAATGACAATGTTCTCAGCATCAGTTACTACCTTAGCATTAGAATCATGTATGGAAAGGATCATGTTATTCTTCCTTCTGAAAGTAATACAAGCATGATAATAGCTTGTGTTTCTGTCTCCTTCAATAAATTTGGTGACTGCAGTTTTTTTTTTTCAGAAAACATTCAGTATAATTGGTTTGCATTAACGGTTCTTCACGGGCTTTATGCAAGACAGCTTCAGAATTCAATCCCATTTGAAAATTCTTTTCCATTCTGATAACATTACTTTGGGCAGTGGTCAAGTTCTCATTAATATTGCCAAATTTTTCCCAATTCCACTTCTTTAGATGAGCAGCCACTTTCTTCTGAAGAATCCACAGTTTTAACCAGGGATTAGAGTTCCCTTCAGCCCTCCAAACCTTATAAACTTCTTCAACAAATTGAGGATGAAGAGTCTACATGTTTTGGAATCTCAAAGGAGCTTTATTTGTCTTTTCAGCATTCTGGATAGTACATAACAATGGTCTATAGTCAGAACTTGCCATAGCCAAATGAGTAATGATAGTGCAAGGGAAGGTCTGAACCCATTTAGAGTTACCCATCATTCTATCCAGCCTCTCCCACATGGCACCTCTTCTCCAAGTAAAGTCTGGCCCTTGATACCCCAAATAAAATAACTCAGCCTCAGAAAGAAAATCATTGAACCTGTTTATTGCAGAGACAGTAGAGGCTTTGCCACCAGGCTCTGCCACCTTTTCATTCACTAAGAAAGGAAAGACAGTTTAAGTCACCCACAAAATCCAAAAAGAGTTTACTGCTTGTCCAATCTGAGTCAACTCATTCCATAAGGTGGCTTGGTTGTTGGCAAGGCTACTGGCATAAATGAAGGCGGCATAGCCAACTTGAGCTCCAATATAGAATTGGATGTGAATAAAATGAGAATGATTTACAAAAATAGACCATTGTAATTCAGATCTAGCAAAGAGCCAAATTTCTTATTGGAGTTAGAGAAATGATCAAAATGAGGGAACTTCATCTAACTTTTTTGGGAATTTTTAGTAATTAAAGGTTCAAGAATGGTAAAACACCAAACTTTATGGACTCTCACAAGATTTTTTAATCTCTTTAGAGAAGAGGGGTGAAAAATACCCGTAATGTTCCAAACAAGAAACTTAAACATTGAGAGAAGGTCCTCCCTTTCCCCCTAGTCCTTGGATGGTGATCCATAGTAGTTGGTCCATCCAAAGACTGTTTAAATTCTAACTTGCCTTTTTTCTTTTTATTGCTTCTTTGAACTTGCCAATCTTCAATTAAGACATCACTCAAACTATCAATTCTCTGTTCTTCAACTCTAATTGGATTATTACTGATTGAGTTGTCATCACGTATTATATTTTCCTTCAAATTTCTGTTAATACCAATGGCTTCCTCCTGCTCCACAGCACTATTATTGGGTTTAACCGCAATAGTATTTTCAACTACAACATCAATAGCAACAACTGCCACTAACATTCCATCGGTTTCTACTGGCCTAGAAGTATTTATGTCCCCAGATGGTTTCTTTTACATGGAGGGTGTAGTCTATATCACCTTTCCACATTATGTCCAAACATTTTACAATGTTGAAAATATAATAGCTTTTGTTCCATTAATATTTGCTGCCAAAATCCTTCTTTAAAAGTACCAATCTACACCCTATCTATTTCCACACCCTATCTATTTCAGGCAACCCTATCTATTTCAGGCAGGGAGATGTGCCTTTCTACCAAAACTCTAGCACCAGCAGGTCTAACCATATTAAAAGTAGGGGCATCAATTTTCACTGGGCAACCAAGCACCCTATTGATGTTGGAAAGAACATTTTGATGGAAGTACTGAATAGGTAGGTTGGGGAATTTGAACCAAATAGGAACTACAGGGGGTTCCTTTGAGGGATCATGAGGGATCAGTTCCTTTGAGGGATCAAACTCAGGTGTCCACTTCATTAACTTCATTAGAACTCCATTGATAGTTAGAGTTTGTTTGGCAAAAAACCTTGCATAGTCCTCTTCATTAAATAATGAAATTAGCAGGTGCCTTCCATCTATTAGACCCAGCCTCCAAGCACCAGTGAATTTAAAAACCCCAAAGAATTTCCTTACCAAATCCATTTTAGGGTGGCCAAACAAGAATTTGCCAACTAGAGTAAATTTTACTGTTTCATTGAGCTCACTAATTTTCATGAGGGGAGAAGATAATTTCAGGATCCCCATCCTTTACTCCTACAAGATTAACAAAGGGGCAAACTCCCCTCCTAGCAGCAGCATCATGTAAACATTAAGGGAAAACCAAATGTTTAAAGGATTTAGGTACTTCCAAGCCACTACCAACAACTTCAGCAAAGGTAGCCTTGGTTCATTGGGCATTGGTATCCACATCAATGGGGTAGGCCATTGAAGACATCAAGGCCAAAGACAAAGGCAGGGAAAGGAGAACCCTCAAACAACAAAGACCAAAAACCAATAGAGAGAGAAGCAATTTGGATCCTTAAAAAGTATTAATCAGAACTGAAACCAGAAAAACCAGTAAAGAAGGGAAAGATCAAAGAAAAAGCAGTAGCTAACAACAACTTTAGCAATAGAACAGTAACGAAACTTAAAACAAACTTCCCGGGCAAAACCCAAACCACCACTACAAACCCCAGGGAGTCCTTAACTTCTTTCAATTTCTCCAAGACTCCTCCAAGACTCCAATCAGGTCCAAGACTCCTCCAAGCAGCTCCATCACAGCCAAAACCCTAGCAGAGCACAGCTATGTCCAGCCACCACCATCCTGTTCACACACACACACACACACACACACACACACACACACACACACACACACAATGACGATGTCTAGGGGAGCTCTGCTAGGGTTTCCAGGGAGAAGATGATGCCTGGGGGCTGGCTAGTGGCTGGAGTTGCTAAAGTTGACTTTACTAGGTGCTCGCAGCTTGGAGGAGGGATTTAGTGTTTTTACATTTCCCGGGCTCTGCTATTTTTTCAAATTCTATTGTTTCATTGATGGCTGAGGGTTGTCCTGATGGCTCTCCCTATTCAGTTGGATAGTAATGGGGAATGGACTTGAGCTACTTATGCTGGAGTGGTTAGTAAGTCTATGGATACATTACAAGATCCTGATCATCTTATATTTTCTCAGGTTTTCCATGACACATCTGTTGGCAAAGGGTCTTCACCCTGCATCCATCCTGTTGGCCTCCAGAAAAAAGAGCCAGTAGTCTTCTTTACTGCACAAGACATTACTAAATTGAATTGTGAAGTGAAATTTACTCTTGTTGGTAAGTTTATGTTGGGACATCAAAAAATGAAATTGGTAAGAAATTTCTTTGATTCACTGAATTTAATTGGGGCATGGAAACTTGGACTATTGGATGGAAGGCACTTGCTAATTCAATTCACTGTGGAGGAAGACTATGCTATGTCGTTTGCCAAATAGTCAGTGATGATTGCTGGATCAGCCATGAAGATAATGAAGTGGACACCCTATTTTGACCCAAGCAAGGAACTACCTGTGGTTCCCATTTGGTTCAAACTGCCAAGGTTACCACTACACTTATTCAAGATGAAATCCCTTTTCAACATTGGGTGTGCAATAGGGACACCTTTGAAGGTGGACATTTCAACATATAACAAGGCTAGAACTGCCCTAACTAAAATTTTAATTGAGAAGGACATTACCCTTCCTGAAATGAAAAGAGTGTGGATAGGAAATACCATTGATGGTTTTTGGCAAGAGGTGGTTATGGAATAAAACCCTTATTTTTGTCAACATTGTAATCTGTTTGGACACACCATAGAGAGATGCCACATATTGCATCCTCCTACTAAAAGGCACACAAATTCCAAGCCAACGGAAAATTCCATTGAAGCTATGGAGAAAACATCAAAGAGCAGTTCTAAAATTAATCATTTGAGGCTTGAAAAATCTGTAATGGTGGAGACCAATAATAACAAGAAGGGTGCTAACAACTCTCCTGCTAGGCTGAAGCAACATCCAGAAACCATGAAAATGACAAAGAATCAGAATCAAGCATCAGATGCAAAAATTGATGGGGAGGAAGGCATAGCTGCTAATACTGGGGGGAATAGTGTTATCCCTTGCATTGAGTTCTACTGCAGGGATTCATCTACACAAGACTGCACAATGGTGGAGGAACAAATCACTACCAAAGAACACAACACCCCTTTTGCTGAAGAAGTTCAACAGATGACCCAGCTATTGGACGAAGAGTGACAAACTCAAAAAAAGAAGAAAAAGAAAGACAAAGTAGAGAACAAGGGAGCTTTTCCTCCAACTGATGGCAAAGCTAAGACCCCTTAGAAGAATCCAATTACAAGGGGAAAGCCTAGGTCAAGATTCCATCCTTCCTTTACATAAACTCCAAAATGGTTAATTTCATATGTTGGAACATAAGGGGGGTGGCTAATCCTCTCTCATTTATGAGATTGAAGTATCTCAACAAGAAACATAAATTGTGGTCTATGGCTTTTTAGAATCCATGGTTCATCAAAATATCCAAAAGTATTCAAAGTGTTTCCCTGGCTTTTCCTTAATTATAAATTTAAATAACAAAATTTGGGTCTTATGTAGACCTGAAATGAGATGTATGGTCATTAAGAATCATTCTCAGTTCCTCCATTTATTTTTTGGCATGGCTGGTTTGGAGGGTCTGACAAAAATTGTTTATGATGGATGTTCAAAATCTACTAGACATGAGTTATGGTACGAATTGCAAGATATTAGCAATCAATCTGACAAAGCCTTGATGGTGGGAGGTGATTTTAACTGTTTGACTTCACTTGTTGAGAAGAAAGGGGGCAGAACTCCTTGTTTAAATATAATGACCATGTTCAATGATAACATTCAAAGGACAGGAGTTTTTGACATGGGATATAATGGGCCAGACTTCCCTTAGAGGAGGGGTAGATTGTGGGAGAGACGATAGAATCTTGGTCAATGATAGATGGCTCCAAAGTTTCCTACACACCTCAATTACTCACATAAGCCTAGGAGAATCTGGCCATAGGCCTCTTTTAATTACTTTGGATGCAGACAGAAGGAAGCAGAATTCTTCTTTCACATACTTAAACTTTTGGTCCCAACATAAGGATTTCTTTACTATTATGAAGGAAAGCTGGAGGGTCTGTAATCATCAAAATCCATTAATCCAACTTTTGAATCTACAAAAGAAGGTTGGGAAAGCTCTTATTCATTAGAACTGGTCCACCTTTGGAAATATCATGAATGGGGTTGAGAAAGCTGAAAAGGAGCTATAGGAGCTAGAGAAGGCAAATGCACTTTGGCAGGTGAATGATAATTAACTGTTGGAGACCAATGAAAAGTTACTTATAGCTATGTAGTGGCAGGAGCAATTCCTAAAAAAGAAAACTACAAAAATTAAATTTGTTGATGGGGACAGAAACAAAAAATATTTTTATGCTTGTATTATTATCAAAGAAAGTGTAACACAAATCATTCTATTAAAGATCAACATGGCATGTGGATTAAAGATGAAGATGGGATTTTCAATAGTGCAGTGGAATATTGTCAGCAGTTAATGCACAGGACTAACATCCAAAAAGGAAAGGTAGCCCTAATCTTTTTCTGACTGACCATGATTTTATTGTAGGAATACAATTTACTAAAGTACTTGAGGTAGAGGAAATCAAAGAAGCACTTGATTCCATAGATAGCTCAAAAGTTGTAGGCCCTGATGGTTTTACAACTGATTTTTATAAGAAAGCGTTAGAGACAATCAAGGAGGAAGTGATCAAGACAATCCAATATTTTATCCAGGGCAATGATCTTCCTGACCATTTCAGTGCTGCCACTATCATTTTTCTTCCCAAATCCTCAATCAAAGACCAATGGCATCAATTCGGAACCATAAGCTTGACTAATGTAATCAAGAAAATCATCGAAAAGGTTTTCGTCAGGAGGCTACAACCTGTCTTGAAGAAAATAATATGCCCTAACCAAACAACTTTTGTTAAGGGCACGACCATTGGGGATAATGTTCTTCTTGGTCAGGAGTTGCTGATGGTTTGGAGAAACCTTGTAGCGGAGGAAATACCATTTACAAATTGGACTTTAAAAAAGCATATGACATGATAGACTAGGATTTTATCTTTGAAATTATGTTGGCCAGGGGGTTCTCTACTGAGTCTTGCAATATTATAAATAGATGGCTAAAAGGGAATGCCAACTCAATCTTGATTAATGGCACAGTCAAGGGATTCTTCAAGTCCACAAAGGGACTGAAGCAAGGAGATCCTATATCTCCAATAATTTTTATCCTAGCCTTAGACTACTTGTCCAGATTATTTGACAAACCTGATCAAAAGAAGAATTACAATATGTATCTCCATAGATCTAGAATGGAAATCAGCCACTTGATCTATGCTGATGACATAATAATCTTTTCTAGAGCCAACAAGACTGTTGTAACGAGTCTACACAACTGTCTAAAGGAATTTCAACACACTTCTAGACAGGAGAAATGTCAAGTGCTCTTTAGCAAAAGAACCTCCACTGCCATCAGAAAGTGGATCTTGGGTCTAACTGGTTTCACTGCCATGCAGACACCATTTAAGTATCAAGAGTTAATCGTTGTAGGGGAAGAACCAAGCACACTCAATTTGATGAAATTGTAGATAAAGTACACTCTACCCTTCATAGCTGGACCAATTCCTTCCTCTCTAATGGGGGCAGAATTACTTTATTAAAGAGTTTCCTAACTACTTTCCCATATGTACATTCTACAGGTAGCAGTGATGAAGAAAACTACGCAATTGCTGCTGAAGAGATCTTTCCAATAGATTTTCTTAGAGTGGTGAAAGAAAGCAAATGTTATGGGCTAGTTGGCAAAAAGTGGCCAAACCTCTTTCAGCTGGATGATTGGGATTTAAGGGGCTCAACCACCTGTAGTATATCAGCTTTTGCGAACATTGGATAACATTCAAACAACAAGAAACTCTTTAGGCCAAGTTATGTTTGCCAAATACTGTAGAGCTAATCGCCCCAACCTAATTTCAAGTGGGCTGGGTGATTCAAGAGTTTGGATAAAGATGCTCAAGGTGAGGGAAACTACTGAGCAACTATATTTATGGGAGTTGGGTCTTTGTAGCATCAATTTTTGGCTTGATAGATGCTGTTCTGAAGGAACATTGGATCCTTTCTCTGATAACCCAAATAGAAGCATAATGGTGAATGAATGCTGGGAAGGACAGTCCAAGTCTGAAAACTTACTCCAAAACATACTCAGTGAATCATCTGTGAGTAAGGTATTGCAGATTCAGATGAACAGTGATAACAAAGATAAGTTGGTCCTAACTCACAATTGTAGTCATAGTGTCACCAAGAATATATATCAACAACTATATAAGTGGGAGAAGGTCCCCTGGACTAATAGTATCTGGAACAATCAGTTAACACCTTCCATGGCTTTCTTTTCTTGGAGAGTGCTAAATAATTTTATCCCATCTGATGACATCCTGAAGCTCAAGGGTTTGAGTGGACCTTCCATATGCCATTTAGGTAGAACTGGTGTTGAGTCTTCCCAACACCTTTTTTTTCTGATGTAAATTCCTTAAACAGGTCTGGGCTGAGGTGATCTCACATTTTCATATCAGTACCATCAATATGGAATGGGACAGCCTATGTAACTTTTGGGGTAACTAGGACAGGAGGAAATTAGGATCCATTCCTTTCATTATTGCATGGTTTATGTGTGAAATAAGAAATCAAGCAAAACATGAGGAGATTGGAGTTGTAATTGGAAAAGTGGTGGAAAACTGCCTGTCATTCATCAGAAAACTAATACAATGGAAAAAGTTCCCAAATCTAATGAATATCTGCAAATCTGTTGAACAGCTGAAGTTCCACATCATCAAGGTAATGTGGGATACACCTTTGTACCCCCTCATAAAGGTCAATAGAGATGAAAGTTATTCCTTAAAGGGTATTCAAGGACAATAAAGGGGCCTGCTTACTGCATTTCCAATCACCTCAAATGGCAACAGATGCCTTGCAGGCTGAAACTACTGGTATTTTTTGGGATATTATGTTGGTTTCCATCAACAAATGGAATCCACTACAAGTTGAAGTGGATTCTACTCAGCTGGTGGAATACATGACAGACAGAAAAAAAACACACCTTTTTGGCATATTCAGTAGTGGATCATTCAGACCAAGAAGCTAATGATAGAAACTAGGGTTCTTTTCTCCTTCATCTACAGGGAAGGAAATAGACTTGCACATTTTCTTGCTACCAATGGAGCAAGATCACAAATAGCTTTTATCTCTAAGCAACCTTCCCCTTCTCTTTTATTTTGGCTTTAGGGAACAAATTTAAATCCCCTCCCATTATAATTGTAACCTTTTTTTGAAAAGCTAAAAGGACTCTTCTTTTGCCAATATATATATATATATATAAGTAAGGAGCCAAGCTCCAATTCATTAAAATTAAAGTAAACATGTTACAAAGAGAAAGGAAAAGAAAGAGAGCCTATAAAAGGAGGCAACCTCTCAAAACAACAAAAAGGAGCTATCTGATATAAGGAAGAGGCAACAAATCACTGGATAAAAGGAAATCCAGTGGGGGAGGGATCCTTCTGCTCACCACAAATTCTTCAGTATAGAGACCCCTTCTAGCAAGCCAATTGGAGGGTTTATTTCCTTCTTTGTGGACATGGGAGAACTTTATAGGGTAGTTCTTCAGTAATTGATGAATCCCAGAAATCCAGCTTATCCCAGAAATCCAGAGAAATCCAGCTTATTAAGTTCCATGGAGTGTCATAGGAGCCCTTGATAATGTTAATAAGCATCAAAGAGTCAGATTCAACCCATAGCTGGTTGAAGTGGCAAGATCTGGCTAAGTTAAGGGCCCAAAAAATAGCTTGACATTCAGCTTCAATAGCTTGACATTCTGCTTCTGACATTCAGCTTCAAGGGGATCCAAAGCTTTAACAGGATATTGGAAGAACAAGATGCATCTCCCCTCATGATTCCTGAAGACACCATCAATACCAACATACTGAGATTTATAGCTACCATCAGTATTAACTTTTATCCATCCATACTTTGGTAGAGACCACCAAATTTTCAAGACTTTGGTAATGGAAGGATTAAAAGATGGGCTCAGCTCCAACACAGCTTCAAAACCTTTAAATTTAATCAGTTTTTGTATAAAGGCAATACAGTTTAGAGACCTACCTTCATAGGTTTTAAATGGGAAATCCCTTGCTTTAACTAGTTTCTAGCCATCCAAACAAATCAAGCCACAATGTTGGGGATGTCTTGAAGATTGATTCCCCTCTAATCTGACCAGCAATTATAGAATACCTCCCATGTTAGATTCATTGTTGGGACATTCATTTTTCCAATCACAATAGACCAAACTTTATGCACCTAGGGGCAGGAAAAAAATAGGTGGCAAATTTTTTCCTCCTCACTAAGACAGAAAAAACATTTAGAGGGACCCCTTAGGCCCTTCAATTTCAATATATCATCAGTGGGAATCAATTTTAAAAAGAGTCTCCATGTAGAAAATGACATGGAGGGAGTGAGAAATTTATTCCAAATTGTTTGACCCCAATCCACCACCTGTTAGGGAGGCTGAGAAGATAGTAAGTTCTTTTTTATAGCAATTTTTTCCTTTTGCCCAGGATTAACAGAGAGTTTCAGAATATTAGAGATTTGAGAAGGGCTGCAAAAAGGAAGAATAGGAGTAAGATTCCACTTATCATGTTCCCAAAGGTCCTTGACAATCTTTGGAGAGGCTGGAGCAATTTGATAACTCAGAAGATTGCCTTCCAAAGACCAATTATCCCAACATATGTTAACCAAGCCCTCACCAATCTCCCAAACATACATTTTTTCAGCTTCCTCCCTAATCTGCAACATATTTTTCCAAATGGGGGAATCCCACAAACCCATAGATACTTGGGTAGGGTGTTGATGCTTGCAATATTTTCCCCTTAAGAATTCAGCCCAAAGTGAGGACTGAGATCTGAATTTGATCCAGAGTTTGCAAAGGTTAGTATGCATAATTTGGGGGAAGGACTTGAAGCCTAACCCACCATCCATAAAAGCTTTACATACCTTAGCCCATTTAGTGCACTATTTTTGCTTCCTTTGACCAGCCCATATAAATCTATTGAAAATTTCTTCTAATAATCGTTGAGTTGAATTTTTCAATATATTCATTTGTAGGAGATATGAGGGAATAGCAGATAAAACACTTTTCAAAAGTGTTATCCTACCCCATTGGATAAAAAGGAATTCTCCCATGCTTGAAGCTTGCTTTGAATCTTTTCTAAAGTGTGATCAAACTGAGAGTTTTTGGTTCTTCCTTTGATTAGAATTACCCCAAGATATTTCACATGGAGATGGCTATTAGTAAAGCCAGTGAAATCAGAAACCCTGGTCTTTAGCTCACTTTTGCATTGTTTGCTGAAGATCGAGATACACTTCGGCTTATTTAATTTAATACCAGAGGCCTCCTGAAAACTCTCCAAGCATTGCATGAATAATTTAACAGTAGATTTGGAAGCTTTTGAATAAATATTGATGTCATCAGCAAAAGCCAAATGATTGATTAAGGTGGATGATCTATGGCTATAAAGGGAGTGGGGTTTCCTGGTAGCCAACTCATTCAAGATTCTGGATAAGTAGTCAAAAACCAAAATAAAAATGGTAGGGGAAAGGGGGTCACCTTGTTTGATACCTCTAGATGCACTAAAAAATCCATGGGAGGTTCCATTGATGAAGATGGAATGGAAATTATTAGTCATCCTTCTGTTGGTAAGAGAGATAAAGGAAGGGGAGAAACCTCTAGCAATGAGAACTTGTTCGATAAACTTCCAACTGATTGTGTCATATGCCTTTTTGATATCTAATTTGAGAAATAAGTTATCTCTTCTAGTGATTCTGTCCAAATCCAGTACCAACTCTTGAGCCAAGAGCACATTATCAACAATACTTCTATCCTTGATGAAGGCTGCCTGCTTCCTGCGTATAAGCTGATTTAAACGAGGTTGTAATCTATGGACCAGAGCTTTGCTTATTATGTTGGATATAACAGAAGTGAGGCTAATGGGTCTAAAATTTTCTCATTTGTGAGGAGTTTTTTTTTCCTTTGGAACCAAACTAATAGTAGATGAGGAGAAATAATTGGGGAGATCAGCCCTCAGAAAAAGCTTTGGACTGTAGCAATGACCTCACCCTTCACAATCAACCAAGCCTTTTTATAAAAATCTGCTATGAACCCATCAATTCCAGCTACTTTTTTGTTGTCGATGGAGTTCAGAGCTTCCCATATTTCTTTTTCATTAGGAATATCAGTGAGAGATAACATTTTGGTGAACTCCCTTTCCTTATCAAACAAGGTATGCATAATGGGAGGTTGAGAGGTAGGAGCTTGTTTGAAAATATTTTGAAATTATTCAACAGCATTATCAGCTATGCCCTCAGCAGTAGTAATCCAGTGACAATAGCAGTAGTAATCCAGTGACCTTCCTGAGAAAGGATTTTATGAATTGTGTTGCATTTCCTCTTGTAGTTGATGCAAGCTTGATAATATTTAGAATTTATGTCCCCTAACAAAACTTCATTTTGTTGGCTTTCTGAGCATATAATGTCTCTTGCATGTTGATTGCATCCAACAGATGTTCATTTGCAGACTGAAGATCCATTTCAGACCCTATGCCAGAGGACATGAGCTGTTCTAATTGTAATACCTTCTGTTCAGCCTCAAAGAATTTATTATTAATGTTCCCAACCACCTCCCAATTTTAATTAGAAAGATGTTTACTGACTTTTTTTATGTAAAAGACAGAGTTTTATACCAGGGATGTGATCATGAACATCAGTTCAAGCCATTGATACTTGATTGAGAAAATCCTCATGCATGGAACACATATTGAAATATCTAAAGTTGACTTTACTTTTAGAATTGTTGGAAGAAATCTTAATAAGTAAGGGTCTATGATCAGACCCACTCATAGCCAAATGTTGGATAGAAGTATGTAGGAAATCTTTGAACCAAAAATCATTCACCAAAACTCTATCCAGCCTCTCCCAAATCTTCCCCCTTCTCCAAGTGTACTTAGGGCCAATAAAACCCAAATCAAAAAGTCCAGCAGGCTGAATGTTGTCATTAAAACTGTTCATTAAATTGATATCAGGAGATGTCCCACCCTTCTTCTCTATAGGTGAAGAGAGACAGTTGAAGTCTCCCCCAACAATCCAGAAGTTCCTTATAGAATAGCTGAAATCTTGTAACTGTTGCCAAAGTTCCTGTATAGCAGTGGATGTACTACCAGCATAAATGAAGGTAGAAAAACCATTATAGTAATTTAAGTTAATCTTTGAATGGATAAATTGAGTTCCCTCTTTAAGGACAATGCATTGAATTTCCTGTCTGCAAAAGAGCCATATTTTACTATTAGTGTTGACAATAAGCTGAAAACCAGGAAACTTCCTTACAAATCTGTTGACATGTTTAGTAATCATAGGTTCAAGAATAGCAATAATCCAAGGTTTATACATCCTATTAAGAGCTAGAATTCAAATAAGGGATTTAGGATGTGCTAATCCCCTAACATTCCGACATATTAGATTCATTGACCTATAGAGTTGGATTTTCCTCTTCTCCTAGTTCTAACTGTACTAGAAGAGAGAGGGGGGGCTTCCCCCAAAGAAGGACAAGAAGGGAGTAGGTTCTTTAGTTCCAAAAGCAATTTCTTCTTTTTTTGCTTTCTGGATTTGCCAACCTTCTTCTAGATCTTTAGCTAATTTCACAAGAAAAGGGTCTTCCTCTGGTATCTCAGTAGTTGTTTCTCCTTGATCAGCAGGGAGTGTTGGAAGTGCAGTACAATTGATCTGTTCAACTTGAGTAGATTCTGGTATAAGGTGAAGTTGTTCAGACACGGGTTTCAGAACATTTTGAAGAGAGTTATCTGGTTCCACAACCTCTTTTCCCATATCTTCAGGTAATTCAACCAACTATAGTATAGAGTCTTCCTAAGTCCTTGTCCCTGGAAATTCAATTCAGAATCTTGGGCAGAATCTTGGGCAGCAATTCCAGCAACAGGTGGCAGCTCAATATCATGTGGCTCTAAGACCACTGAATTTGTTCTAGGAAGCTTCCTTTTGAGGTTGGGATGAAGTCTAAAGTACTTTTCATTAGTATGGCCAAACATTTTGCAGTGATGGTAACAATAAGGTCATTGTTCAGCTATAATTTTCTGCCAATAACCACTATGCTCAGTGCCTAACCAAATTTCCTCCACAACTGGTAAAGTGATAGTTCTTTCAACCAGAATTATAGCTACTGAGGGTCTGGATAAGTTGAAAGTGGGGGCATCCAACTTCAAAGGTCTTCCCAAGGCTTTGCCAATGTTGAAGAGAACCTTGTGGTTGAAAAAGTATAGTTTAAGTCCAGGTAACTTAAACCATATGGGGACAATGGCAAGTTCTTTACTGGGGTCAAAATTAGGAGTCCACTTTAGCAATTTCATTGAGATTCCTTCAATCAAAATAGATTGTTTAGAAAAGATTCTAGCATAGTCTTCTTCCCTTGTGAGATTGATGAGAATATGTCTTCCATCAAGTAGGCCTACTTTCCATGCCCGTTCAAATTTCATTCCATCAAAATATCTTCTCACAGATTCCATTTTAGAGTGGCCAAGTTGAGGTCCTCCTCAGTAAAGTAGATAGACAATTTCCCACTATTGTTGCATATAGGCTTGAAGAGAGGGTCATTACCCACATGATACTCTTGAGGAAAAACCAAATCATCAGGACTCTAAACTTTATCATATAATTTCCCAACAATGTCAGCAAAGGTAGCCTTGGCCCACTGAATATTTGTGGAAATATCAATTGTATTAGGGTCATTCATCACTGAAAGATTCCCAGTACAACAACTAGCAAAAAGGGGGTCAGTGCTATGGAACTAACACTGAGCTGTCGATTCAAGTAACGAGTAAATGAAGGAGTAGAACAACAAAAGGAATAGTAGAGACAAAACAATAGAGAGAAATCCAAGTAACCAGACAACCCACACAGTAGAGAGAACAACTCAGTCAACCAGACAACCAAACAGCAGAAACAGTGGGGCTAAGCAATGGAGTAATAAAATTTGAAAAAGCTAAAATCTCGGGAAGAGGTAAAGAGTTAGAGAAATTCAAAACTTGTAAACACCAGTGATGAGAGGAGAGAAAACTAGTTGAACTTGATGAGGTAGTTGAGATTGGGTCATCTACAGCAACAGCTAGATCCATTCTGTCGAAACCCTAGCAGAGCACCAGAGGAACCAGCCACCACACATGGTAAATCTTATATATATATATATATCAGCTTCCAAAATAAAGTGTAGGTGTATATATATATATATAT